GGATGCTTATCTTGCTGGGATCCCATGACCCCAGCTGACTTCTGGCCCCTCGGGCGGGGGGCTGGACTGGATGATCTTCCGAGGTCCCTTCCGGCCCTAATGCCTATGAAATCTATAAAAACCCTGTGGGCTGCTGTTCCTGAAACATGAACTGCGCCCTTGTGTTTTCCTGGCGTGCATCCTTTTTGTCATTAAAACCCAGTGACCCTCCCAGACCCCCACCCTGGGGAGCCTTGGCTTTTCTCCCCGGCTTTTGGAGAACCAGCTGTCCTTAGCATGCCAGCCACGGCTCCGGCGGTCAAGATGTCGCCCATAAAGACGTTGCTGCAGGATACAAACAGATCTGTAAGTTTACATGACAGATGCATTGTCCAGACGGGTGGAACAGGGCCCACATGGCAACAGAGCCAGCTCCCATTGGCACGGATCTGCCCTTCTCTAGCAAGAAGGCCAAGGACTGAACAGACCACAGACATCACCCCCCACCTGATGCTAGAGAAGACCTAGAGACAAATGATAGGGGCGTGAGAGAGTCCCCCGGCATCCTGTGTGCTAGGGAGCGATGGGCTCTGCTCCCAGCCTGTGCTCTGAAGAAGCAGGGCATTTACTCCACCGACATTACCCCAGGCCAGCTGAGGCTGCTGTCGCCACTCCAATAGATTTATGGGCCGATTCACACCCAACACTGCATCCCCATGAGATCAGTCGAAACCCCTCGCTCCTTTGAACTCCTCTCCCCGATGCCAAACTCATCATGTACCTGCACCTCCTTGCCTCCAAGTTGCCACCGTCTGTGTTGCTGTGGCCTCTCACTCTCTCCGAGATGCTGAGCACCCGCAGCCACCGTGGACTTCCCCTGGGTTTCCATGAGCTCTGTATTTCTAGGAGCAGTGCTACCGTCTTGGATTAGACATCTGCATGTCAAGTAGCTGCCCAAGTCATTACAAGGCCCTTTTTTATAAGGGGATCTTGCTTCCAAGCAGTTAAAAATCCCCAAATTTGCTGGTAAGACCTGCCCTCTAATGGAGAAAAATCACAACTGCATTTGGGGAAAGAAATACCCATATCAGCTTTTGCAGGACAGGTCTGCTTCCAGGGCTGGCTTTGGATTAATTCGTGTCACACTGCTAGAGTCACCTGGATTGCTCGAGTCAGCACTGAAGCCACAGAGCCAGAGAAATATTGTTGCCTAGAAAGGGCCTCGTTGCCCATCCTCATCTGGGGAGGAGGGGGAAATCCTTTCCAGCAGATTATTTCCTAGCATCTCAACTCATCCATTTGAAACGTCACCAGCTACTGCCCTCAGGACGGCTGTTCCCCAGCCTGAGAGATCTCTTTAGTGACAGTCAGGTTGTATTTTTCCCTTTGCTTAAATCACCCTCAGGTACCCCTTTAGCCTAGAAGGGGCTGGGTAAAAACATCATAGGACTGTAGCAGGCAAGTCCCCAATTGCCACGCATGTCTCCTTTTCCCAATGTCCTGGTCCACACACCCCAGACCTCAACCGAGGGCTTTGGAGGAGGAAATCTCATGTCAGTATAGGACATCAGGATTGGTATTCAAGCAGTAGCTCAAGCCACAGGCATCTCTCTAGCTTTTGGAGGCCTTGCTTGAAAATATTATCAGAGTTGGAGGTTTTTCCCCCTGCATATTCTGAATCTGTCTTCCCTGACTACCATGACATGGCAGCCATCAGCATCAGTGACGGTTAACGTGCCATCACTCATGAGGACGAGGGTGGTGCACTGGGCGACAGGTGCACCAGGGCTGTTGCCCGGGTTCCACGGTTAATCCTGATCATGCAGCCCCCGAGCCAGGCAGGCCCCAGGGACACCAGCATAACCCTGATGATAGCACACACCCACCTTTGCTCAGGCAGGTACACACACACACCCTTTGCTCAGGCAAGTATACCCACA